CAGCGCCCCCGGGGGCCGTCGTCCGGGGAGCTGGCCGGCGCCCGCCCCCGTCTGCGGCGCCTGCCTGCTGTCTCGGTTCCCTCTGGCGCCTTCACCTGGGGCCTCTTGACAGTGTGCTGAGGACGGAGCTCAGTGGCAGCAGCGGCCTGGCGGCCCGGGAAACTCCGCGAGCCAGCGGCCGTCCTCGAGAGACCGTTCAGTGCAGCCGTGTCCGAGAACGCCTGGCAAATGACCGGGCGAGCAATGCTGGCATTTGCGCATGTGCCTGGGGGCTGACGGGGGAGACAGCCACGGACCGCTGTCGGCGCTGAGCGCCACTGGCGAGCCGCGAGAGACGGGCATCCGCGCTGCTGCGTGCTCGGACCTGCCGGCTCAGCCCACGCTCCCGCCTCCCCGGATCGCGCCCCAGCAAACACGGGGCTGCGCTGTGGCTCCCGGCGCTGCCCCGGGAGCGGCCGGCCCGAGCTCGGCGGACTGCCCCGCCACGCCCGCTCGGAGCTCCTCCGTGGGCAGAACCCGCCTCATTTCCCAGTCCCCACCACGAGCATTGCCTTGTTCCCGAAAGCGTGTCTCGCTGGGCTGGCGGTGAGCCGGTGCACCTCGCTCTGGGCGCTCAGGGCTGCGCCGCAGACAGCACGCCTCGGCCTTGCTCTTCCAAGCCCGGGTCGCGTGGCCGCCTCTGCCCCGCACCCCCGGGCGTGTTCGCCCCCACACCCCCAGGCCTGTCAGCGGGTGTTGGTGCTCTGCCTTGCCTGAGGGGCCGGTGCCCTCACGGCGGCAGGGACCGTCATGCGCCTCAGCTCTGAGCGCGCTGCTGACGTGCAGCTCGGAGCGGGGACTATCTTGCTTCTTCGTTCTGTTCTGCCTGCCAGCCCTTCTCCCTGGGGTTGCTTCCTTCTGTCTGAAGCGTGCTCTTTAGAAGGGTCTTTCGAGAAGAAAAGTGGTAGTCTGAGAGCATTTACCTCGTCCGTGTTGTTGCGAACATCTTTGCGGGGTATACGAGCTCAGATTGACGGTTGTTTTCCCCAGAACATCAAAGCTCCTGCGGCGCGACCCCCTGAACCCCGTTTTGCGGCAGCAAAGCCTGCTGCTGACACCCACCTGGCCTTTGAGGTCTTTCATCTCCGGCTGCCTCAAGATCTTTTCATCTCTGGTGTCCCGGCGTCTCTCTTTGATGGCCACGGCGTGTTGCTGTTTATTCCATCAGGAGTCCATTGGACTTCACAAACTGCGATTGATGTCGCCTAGGAAGTTCACAGCGTGGTCTTTCAAACACTCCCCTCTTCCTGAGACCTTGAAATGAAGTTTATTAAAGCTTCTCTAGCTCTCATGTCTCTTAAACCTCAGTTTCCAGACCCTTGTCTTTCGGTGCTGAGTCTGCATCCTCTGCCCAGAGCCATCTCTACCCTCTGCATTTCTCTCAGTCTACGCCGCCGTTCGCCTGATTTTGCTTGGCCGAGCTCCGTGAGGTGCATTGAATTTGGGCAAGCTGTGCGCACTTAAAGTGTGCAGTTTAACTCGCCCCTGCGAGCACACCACGGGAGCCGCAGTCGGGTGACGGAGACCCCAGGGCTGCCTGTGCTGCCCCTCCGGGCCGTCCCCCGCCCCGGTCTCCAGGGCCCGACCCGTCACTGCGCGTGGACGCACGTGCTCCGGGCTCCTGCAGAAACGGGGAGTCGCGTGCAGCGCGTACTTCAGCTCTGCCTGTTGTTTTTTTCACTCAGCGTGTCGGATTCCAGGTCCCGCCACTAGCGTCCACTCTCCGCTCCTTTGCGTGGCCAGGCCGGGCGGCGTGGGGAGCCGCGGCCCGCCTCGCGCTCTCTCGTGGGCACGGCTTCGTCTTGTTTGCGTCTTGGGCTGTCACAACGCGGCTGTAGCGACGCTGTGCGGGGCTCTGCGTGGCCCTCGCCCCTGCAGCCCCTCGGCGGGACACCCGAGAGGGAAACGTCTGCCGGGCAGGGAGGCG